TTCAATGAAGTATTTTTAGATGTATCTATTCAATGAAGTATTTTTAGATGTATCTATTCAATGAAGTATTTTTAGATGTATCTATTTAATGAAGTATTTTTTGACATATCTATTTAATGAAGTAATTTTAGACATATCTATTTAATGAAGTATTTTTTGACATATCTATTTAATGAAGTATTTTTTGACATATCTATTTAATGAAGTATTTTTGACATATCTATTTAATGGAGTAATTTTAGGTATATCTATTTAATCAAATGAACACTAACTTTGGATATTAAGATAAATTTGTTCTAAAAAATAAGGTCATTCCTGAAGAAGTTGTAAGTATTATACAATACGTTAAGCAAATTAACAGAGTAAATTGGCCATTTAATCAAATATTTTGTTTGCTGCTTTACACTTATCTTCTATAGGTTTTCGCTTTAAATAAATCTCAACATTTATTATGTATATTATTTCAGACTTCTATTTTATGAAACTGAAATTCCATGTTGTGTGGGACTAACCGAAATAAAATTGAGATTAAACTACTTTATGGTTTGACAACAGGGTTGACAACTGTCCTTAAATAAGTAGGTTGCAAACAATGCCAATGATTTTGAATCTAAGTAAGAGAGGATACATTTTTATCACTCAGCAACTTTCTAACCATACTTAACTGAATTTCCCATTTTCTTTTATTCCCTTCCCCTAAATACAAACTTCAGTAATCATCTGCAAGGAAGACTGTTGCATAATCCCATAGAACATTAGGGTCACCAATTCACTGATGTAATAAACAGTCCACTTGTGTTGATATATGATCATGAAAAATTTAGATATATGAAAATAGTACTTTTATAATAGATTTCATTGTTTATTATTTTTTAATGATTCCAGTAAAAAAGGCCACTGTTTGTCTGCATGTCAGCAAAAATAAATTCACAATCCCATTTGACACCTCACTTCACATCTATGCATGTGCAACCACCTCTTACTTCATATTAAACCAAAACTTGAGGACCTACATTGTATGCTGATTAAGCTTAATTAACACCACACACAAGATATGCATATTCATATGCTTCTTAAGGTTTTAATTTTATCCATCAGGCATTTAGCTCAGTTTTAACAAACTTTGGATATATTATCATATTTCTATTAATTTCATTCACATAGTTTGATCTAAATCTTCCAGATTCTCTCAATAATTTGCCAAATGTTAGCTTCTATTTCAAACTCTGCATCTATACATGCACATTAGGTATTTCCATATGGTTAGTGTAGAAAAAGGAAATTTTTGAATGCTTTCAAATATTTCACACATTTTATAGTGTTAATTAGTTTACTTGTGTTTTTTGTAAATAGTTTTAATTATATTAATATTACAAAATGTATACTGTAGTACTAGTAAACACCTAAAAATATACAAAGAAAAAATATATGAAATATTTTTCTAGAATGTTTTTAATGAAAATTGTAAGTTATGAAGAATTAGATGTCTGTTTATGGTTTTATAGCACTTTTTTCTTACTCCATGCAGGAGGTTAAAAAACATTTTGTTCTCTACTGTTTTACAAATTGTATTCATTTTTTAACAGCTTATTGGTAAACCACTGGTGAATGTTCTGCTCAAATATTTTATGTCCAAGGAAAAGCAAAAGTCAAATTTTTGAAGAGTAAAAGTAGAGTTAATACATCTAGAAGCTAGATTAAATAACTAAATACCTCATCTACTAGTTCATAAAACTCAATCTCAAATTAACCAACACCTCATATATTCCTTTGTGCAAATTTCTAAAACTTTGTGCCTTGCATGTGTGCTATGTAAAGGCTTGCTATATGTTTCCTACCCCCTTAGCCAACATGTAAAATTTTTCAAAACTTCTATTTCATTCAAGATTTAGTTTTATTGTTGAAAGCTACTAAAGGGAACAAAAAAGTCCTCCTCAATCCAGTGACACACATGAAACAAGATCATTCCAGTAGATCATCAAACACATTTTCTCACAGGAAAGATAGTTGATCATTGTTGTTTGAAATCTGGATGATGTCTTAAGAAAATAGCTTGTCCTTGTGTTAAAAGCAAGTGATCTTGGGTGCCCTACTCTTACTGAACAGCCTGGCTTTTGTTTTCTGTACTTAAGTCCAGGTTTACTCAATTAGATAGCCAGTCAGAGATGTACATGCAAGATATTTCTACTGTTTCCTTATAGTTTTAAAACAACTTGATTAATATACAATCTTCACTTTGAAGAACTTTAACTATAGTGTGTAACTTAAAGGAAACTTAAACTAGCTCTGATAGTGTGTATTTACATTTGTAGTGAATTATGTCTGTTTATCAATAAAGAGTGTGATTTTGTGCAAGTTTATGTCAGTCTTTTTCACTTAGTGATGGACTCAGTCTAAAGTAAGGAAAAATCAGGCCTCTACTCCGTCATACAATTCACTCTGAAGGAGTTCAGTGAACCTGAAAATATCACACATGCTTTTAAGGAACAGGTGGGATTCATGTTAGAAAGTCTTGCCACATTACCCTACTAGAAGAAGACAATTTAGGCATCACTTTCAGTTTCAAATCATCATATCTCAACTGAATTTAATAAGACCATCAAGGTTCCTAACCTGTGTAGTCACAAACTTTGGGAAAAATGACTGGATATGGACATTTTTACTATAGATCTTGAAAAACCTTTGTGTAGGTAATTACACTTAAAAACATAAGCATGCACACATTTTTAGCAAAATGGCTTATGATTTTAACTATATCTACCAACAACCAAATGAGTTAATAAAGAGATTCAACCATATTTTCTTCATATTGATTATTTTCCTAATGAACTAAATCTGCCCATCTAAATTATTTGTCACCCTCAAGCAGATAATTTTGATATAACAAGTGAAGTAAGAAGAGATTAAACAGTATGATGTTATATTCATGTAAGTTTATGTTTTGAATTATCTTTAAAGTTACCTATGCTGAAAAAACTTAAAAATATACTAACCATCATATCGCACATTTTCATAATGTGTTGGTCCAACTGGTTGTGAAAGAGCTTCCTTCTCTTGATGTTCCCAGTTTTGTCGAATAATTTCTTTCCTCATGTCATCAGACAAAAGTTCCGATTGTCCATTGCCTTTTTTAACACTATCAGAAATAATTTTCAAACTCATTTGCTGGATTATAAAATAACCAATAACCAAAAACAGCAATCTGATGAGGAATTCTTGCTTGTAACACTATAGGCTGTACAAATATTATTTAATGTAAAATATATATAAATTTAACTTCCTCTAATAAGTTTACGTTTTAGATTTTTGAATGAATAATAAATTAAAATAATAGAAGTTCAGAATTTTTAAATTGAAGCAAGTAATTTTGTCATCCAGAGTTGGTTTCAGAGTAATATCCAAAAATGTGAGCTATTAACAGATATCACACTGAAGACAAAGTATACAATACAAATAACTATTACAGTAGCTTATGCTATGAAAATGAAATGCAACAATTTCTAATTACAGTTTAAAAAGCATTAATGAATGATGTTTTTGATTCTAAGCCTTTTAGCACTAAAAACACCATATACCAGCTATTGTCACACAAAACAGCCAAGAAATGCTTTGTGCCATGACTCATTAAATGCTTATAAAACAATTATGTTTTTCATTTTCAGGGGGAGGGGCAAGAAATCAACAAATATTTTTGAGTTGGGTTGTTTATAAATTTCATCTTATACTTTCAGTATATAGACTAACAACAATACCAGGTTATACTTTTGTTGCTGAGTAACATTGGCATAAAAGCCTTTGTTGGAATGCATTGTTACCAAAATGTACTGGCTTTCCTATATATTAGATGTAGTTAATCTAACCAATATACTACAGGGCAAGCATGTGGATAAGACAAGTAATAATACCTAGGTACACACCTTCAGGGTACACACTTAGTATGGGTGCAAAATTTCAGGTTCTTGGAGCTATGGCAGTTACACACACACACAGACATCACTTATGGCTTTTGACCATAACTGTATATTTCCTTATAAAATGCTAGCAGAGTATTGTGGTATGTAAAGCGTACTATATATTTCCTACCTCCTTAGTTACTAAGCAATTTCTCAAAATTTCTGTGCCTATCAAGTCTTCTGTGCTTAACATACAAAGTCAGTCACGGGTGCTACTAAGTTCCTCTCACCCTACTTACGTACGAGACCAAGTCAGTCAATAAGGGCATCGTGTGCCCTCTTGCATTATGTATAGAAAGCAACAGTGATCTTTTCTACTAGCAAATCAGGTGATGGCCCAGAAATATAGCATTCCATTATTAAAGGGAGAGTGGTTGTCACTCACATGGGTGGCACATGTCCTGAGAAAAACATGCAATTTTGTTTTGCCTATATAATGTCATGTTCTCTCAGTGTGGAATAACTTTAATAACTTTTGAACTGCTAACAACTTTCCAAGAACTTTTTAATTTCTCAGCAGTTCTCAAATTAACTTTAACTTAGCTACAAAATAAGAAGATTTAGACCTAAGGTTTAAACAACTATAGAGATCTTTCAAATAAATTTTCACATCTCTCTCTCTCTCTAGTAAAAACACACTACAAAACCTTGTCTTTTGAATTTTTAACTTTGATTGTGTTGTGTGAATAAAGATAGTTACTGTGTACAGATTTGCATCCAGTCTCCCTTTCCTTATATCAGATTCAGTAAAAGTCAGGCCTCTGCTCTGCAACAGTTTCAGGCAAACCACTTCATATCTTCTGATTCCTACTAATTGACTCTAAGATAAATCAATGAATGTGAGAATACCACAGTATCAATGAATGCTTTTCTATTTATTTCAGCTGAATGAAATTTTTTCAAATATATTTCATAAGCAATTACATAATGAGAGCAATCTTCAAAATTCTGTTATTTCTGTAAACCTAATACTCTCATCACAGGCTTGTTACAACTCTTTAGAGAGTTACATTCAAAATATAATTAAATTTCTTTATTATCATTGTATTCAAACAATCCTGACTTTAAAACATAGTTAATAAATCAAATTTTAATACAAGTTTTCGAGTTCTTAATTTTAATGGAAATATTTTTAAAAATCCTCAATCTTCCCTAGTATGAGAAATTTGTTCTCTAGGTCTTCCCTCTTTCTAATTTATTTACCACCCCTCCAAGAAATATGCAAGTTATAATTTTCCTATACTGAAAATATATTTCCAATAGGTACTTCCCTATCACTATGAGGTGTGGCAGAAAACGTAATCACCAAAGGAAAGTGGGAAGGGTGGGATGTGTGAGAGGAGGTAAGTACCTATCGGAAATACATTTGCAGTATAGGAAAATTATAACTTCCGATAAGGTACATTACCTATCCTCACATAAATAGTTAGAAGCCCATATTGAATAGGTGGAGGAACCAGTGTGAGGGAAGAAAAGAAGCATCCTTCGAGAGAGTCAGATCTAAAGATCTAATGTGGGAGACTGCACCACATCTGAACCAGCTATACTCTTCGCCCATCGGAGAAAACTGTGGTATGTATGGTTGGAAAAACAGAGAAGCACATCCATATATGTGAGAAAAAAACAATGGAAGTACCACCAGACGTAGAGTGGCTAGGTTGCAATGGACTGTACTTGATGAGTTAACTACATCCAAAACCAATGCTACTGGAAACCAACATCCACGCGAGAGTAGGATGAGGATCATGTCATCTTCACCTCAAATTCAAAAAACTGGGAGGAATCTAGAACCACTCGAAATCCTGAGCATGACACGTGTTAGCTTGGATCTATAGATCCCGGGACCCAACATCCGGTATCAAAAGGTTGTCTATATAATGTAAATCAACTCCTCCAACAGCAAAACTGACCAGAACCATCAAAAAAGCAATAAGATACTCGGAATAAGATACAACAAGGGATAGCAAAAGGACAGAACTGGAATAATACCTCTTACCCACACTGTGACCCACAACACAGAAGGAGTATGATTGAGGACTTATGTTGATTGGTTCTATTCTAAATCCAAAACCCAGCCACAGGGTACCGATATACATGTGGGGTAGGATGAGAGCTCCCAATCAAGAGGTGGACTGCAATTTGACATCTCAATCCTTTGTGAGTATATATATTGCATATTGGAGGACAGCACACCATCTACACCTGCAGAACACCACCACCCTACTCTGCACTAAATGGTTATAGCTATCTTTGTGTCGAAGCCATTCAGGAGGGTGCCTCCACAGTTCAAAACTCCAACAGCTTGGAACTGGAAAGTGGTAAGGACTCCTACACTCCACTAGAAGAAAGGGGGGTGAGAACGAGATGGGGAATCCGGAGGAATGTTATCACCTGATACAATGCAATGACCATGTAACCCAATTTTGAAAAGCAGGCCAAACTGACTTATTCAATACAATGCATGTCAGGGATGGGCAGCTATTCCCTTCTGAAATGCAATGACCATGAAACCCAATTTTGAAAAGCAGGCCATGGAAGATAAAGCATGAATCAACATGGCTGTACATTGCAGATTTCAAGTTGAACAATACCTGGTCAGGCACCACTCGCCACAGAGCGAGTAAATGAAGCAAGAGCACATGAAAGTTAAAGAAAAGTATGAATATAAACTTACCCAGTCAAAGTCACACTGAAACCTGGAGAATGGCCAAAGGTGGAAGACAAAAACTGGACAAAGAAGAAACCATGACATGTTGTAAATAATGGTAGATGAGCGTATTAGGTGCAGTCCACATGCCCAATTGTAGGATTTCCTCCAATGGCTGACGAAGAGGAGATGCAAGGGAAAAGGTGAGGTGTCAAATCTGATAAGAAGACACCTGGAACAAATTCTGAGAGGAAGAAGACAAGAAGGAATAAGCCAATCAAATCAAAAGTTGAACACAATTGGTGAGGGTAGAAGAGGAAAGATCCCAAACAGATGAAGAATGTCAAGGGATAATGAGTCAGGAATGAGTATTACGGAAGGAAGCCATGCAAGCAATATAACAATGAAGAATATGGACTAAACATAGAAGTCTATCCAAATCGAAATTAGGGTACAGATGAGAAATAGAAATAGATGGGAAATAGGCAAAAAATAGGAGTTACCTTCCCTAGCTGCCAAGATCTTTGGGAGAAAGGAACGATAAGTAGGGTAGAAAAGCATACATGAAACGTCAATGGCAAACAATTCAGACACTCAAGCCGCAGTAGAATGGTCAGTGGGAAATCCCCAAGTCGCAGGCCTACTGCAGAACCCTTTCCATTTGCACTGATATACCTCCATTGAAGAATTACATATGGAAAGAGCTAAAAGGGAAAGCTACTCAATATGGGAAACCTCATCTCCTCACCAAGGGTTGGATAAAAAAGCAAGGTGTGAAGACAAAGGACATGAATGGTTGGATGTAGAACTGGTGACCAAGGTTGACAAAGAAGGGGAGGGAAACAAAGGAAGAGGTACTGGAAAGAAAAGATGCAGTTGTTATAATTGTGGAAATCATGGTCAATAAGGAGTGATCAGAAGAACTGGACATAGAGTGGTATGGATGAGAAAGATCACCTGATGAAGTAATCAGATAGGAATTAGTGGGACCAATCCTGGCTGAAGGCATTGACAGCCATAGCCCAAGGAAGAGGTACAGGGGCTCAAAAAGAGAGATAACTTGTGATTGAGGTATGTGGCAAATGCATCTATGCATGTAAAACCCCACCAATTACAAAGCTACCAAAAACAAGGGGATCTCAAGACAACTCTGTCAAATATATTTGGTCAGGGTGGGAAAGACAATCTGCTAAGAGATTGAAAGTACCTGAAATGTGACATGCACCGAGTTGAATGTGGTGCATTTGGGCCCAATATAGTAGATCTAATGTTCAAAGACAGACATTTCTCGAACAGATGCCCCCTTGGTGATTGACATGTGCTACCTACATAGATTTGAATCATCACTAGACAATATCTGGCGAGACGAAGGAAGTGATTCAAAGCCCAATGGACCATAAAAAGCTCAAGGACATTGACATACAAGGATCTTTCATGTACAGTCCAACAACCAAAAGCCTCCTGGTGATTGATCCATTCACCTCAGCCATGAAGGGATGCATCTGTGAAAAGATGTAAATCCGGACTAGGAGGAGG